GAATTTTAGAGGTTGGAAAAAATGTTTTACTGGTCTGTTCATTTGCTTTATTGAATTCATTCATTGGGTTAGCTATTCAATAATGCAGCAGTTCTCATTTGATTGCAAATTTATGTCGGTGATCACGTTGCACCACAGGAATTTGAGCTTTGGTTTGAGAATGCCGCATTCTTAGGGGACATTTGAAGTAGTTATTTTGTCTACCTACTCGGAAGACAGCAGGAAGCTTAGAAGAGACGAAACGGATATCCGATCCCAGTTTACTTAGCTGATGAACACGTTTCTCTACTGTAATGGAAGTCCCATTGTGGTGTACCCGTTCCATCTCAGCAATGTGGCCAAATTGATGTTTAGTTTGTATGCTTGAGGACTGATTTCGAAGGTACTGCAGCCTGAATTGAACTGAATAAGGAATCCTGACCGAGATTTCTCAGCAACTGTCCCTTTCGTTGTGCGTGTGCTTGTATTCATCAATCATAAACTGAACCAACGCTCCCGCTAGTAAATTGGAGGATTCAGTAATATTTGCACTTTTGGCGGTCGATTGGACCCAAAGAAGTTGTCCTTTGAATCATCGCCTGCTTCGGAACGCATGTAGGCTAAACTGCAAATAATCTTTATGTGATGAATAAAACTTTTCCGACCTTACGGTCGCTCGCCTTGATCGTGGTAAACGTAATTGCGCGAAATGCTGACGATCCATCTCTTTGAAAGGTAAGCGTGGTCACTGTGAAGGTGATTGGGTTACTTTGGGTTCCGTCTACGTACCATTTCTTCAGTAATTCCGAACATTTACAGTAAGTTACCGATAGATCTTGAAGTGGTTTTGACAATTGGAAAAAACATTTACCCTATGTAAGCGCTCTTGTTGTGGTGCATTCGATCGTTTTTAAGGCCTGAATGAGATAATAGAAACGCGTACTGCTAACCATAAATAAAATGAAATGGCCTTCTAATTGTGTGTTTTCTTTCCTTCCGCAACTCGAAGTTTCACATACGGGTTTCATCGGATGACCTGAGAAACTGTTCGTCGTAGCAGCCTCTTGATGTCAATAGTTGTCCCACTCTGATGTTCCCAGGAGCTTACCAGTATTTTATCACCAAGTTCAATAAACTATCGGCAGTGGTTCGTGGGCTCTACAAATTATGATTGTGACAAATAAGGTCTGGTCGCCGAATTCCCTTTAATTTTATTTGATCAATATCGTGTGATCCTTTCCCCTATCATGAAGAAATAGTCGACCCAAATGTTAGTGCATTACGAACCTAGAATTTTGCCACACTTGGTACCATAGATTTGTCACAAAGATCGTACAAACCAATCTTTGTCTTGGATCGATCCCAATTCCTAATTGGTTGTGTGGTCGTAATGAATATCTTCATCTTCCAGTTATATTTAACTTTTTTCACTCATGGGTTCGCAATAAGCGGTCCCAGTGACATTCCGAGGTAAGTTTATCCTCAAAGAAAAGTAGCTGGGGTAAAATAAGGTATAAAATCAGTATAAATGTTTAAGCGTGAATGGCGTATCAATCAACCTTCTTCGGTAACTGTTGGCGGCCCCTTTTTATAAAAAACACCCATCACAGCACTATCAAACCTTCATTGTATGTATCTTGGTGTAACAAACTGTCGATTGTTTGCTGTATTGTCACACGTCGACGATGCAAAAAGCCTCTATTTATAAATCAAGGACATTCATCTGCCGTATTTCGTTCATTGTTGGCTGGAGTGCCCACCAGAGTTCTCGAAGTAATTCATTTAGTAGGGGTAGCTCGTCTCGAGTGCGGCATTTAACAAAGTCCTCTTTTCAGGTAAACCGAAAAAAGTTGCGTGTTTAAAAAAACTCCATGGTCTGTAAACTGCTGTCCGAAGTTCTTTGGTATCCGATTCTCCTGGAACGAGTAACCCTCAGCTGATTCTCGTCCAGATGAACGGCTCTAGTCGGTACCATCGCATTTGCATTCAGTACTGCGTTAGACTGCTCCAGATTGGGAATGACGTGTATCCGGTTGCGTTCGCGTCACAATCTGAGTGAAACATGATACTTTAGTAATTTGTCTGACTGCTTTCCACTTTACCTGAAAACTTCTCATTTTACCTAGATTGTACCTTGAGCATCGATAACTCACCTTTGGTCCCTGGAATCTCGCTAACTTTGGTCCGACTGAATTCGGTGTGCAGCTCGACGTACTTTCTGACGGTCACTTCCTATTTGTGCTTATAACATGGTATCCATCTACCTTTTGTAGATCTTTCCTAGAGATGCTTTTGCTCATCGAGAGACGACACGTCTGCTTTCGAATTCCAGTCGGTCCAGCCCAGTCGGTGGGCTGGGTTCCGAAACGTTCCTTGAGACCAACATTGTTTGGACAACTAATTTCGAACGCCAGACATGTCCCATTTGTTCTTGTTTGTTCATCTTACAATGAAACTCCTGATCCAAGAGAAAATCGACATGACGAATCTCAGGTAATTGCTTGCTAGGGTGGTGGTGGCACTGTGGTTTGTCGCTGTCATAGGTGTGCTTTGGACCCTATGGTTCGTGGTTCGAGCCCCGCCACCCGACTTTGGTGGTAGGCAGCTCTGCTGTCGCCCTCTTCAATACCACACTTAAACTTTTGTGGACTTATGTGGTTCGCCAAATCAGGTCCTGGGGCTTAGGTTTCCGGTTTCCGCCACTGAACAGCAGGTCCTCGTGACTACGAGGTTCGCCCCGTCTGCTGTTCCTCACATTTAGGTGTGTAATAAAAAAGAACCGAAAAATGGTGCTCCGAGGTCGATACCACAAACTGCAGTATCTCAGAATGTGTGATACCTATACCCGTGCACTTACTCCATTGCGTCGTTTGCATATCCATTTGTCCTAAAACCTAGGATAAATGGTGATATTATCCATCAAGTGAGCACCTGACCCAAAAGGCATATATTTACTGTTTCTAATAAATTCTCCAGGATCAGGTGTATAAAATCATGGTATTGGTCTTGATGCACCGTCACTTCACGAAGCACAGACAAGCTGCGGACTCGACTGAACATTGCTTGTTGGACTCATCCGCCTATGCTCACTATTTTTAGAGCTGAAATCATAATGGCTTTGCAGTCGATGTTTACGCTTTTGGGTTCATTGAAACTTTTGAATATTGGTTTGACCTATTCGGATTCATTCAAATATATATGGAAGCAGGAAGTACAGGTATCTTTTCATGCGGTATAGGGGTAAAATAGTCAAACGCAGTGAATGAGTCTTTAACAACCGGTTGCATGGTCAGTTGGGTGCCATATTTCTAGTGGTAAGGAAGGCGTCGTAGTAGCGAACAATCGGCTGAGTGCAACTGCTCATTCCAACACTAAAAAGCATGATATCACTGATCCTTGTGGGATCTCTAATATATCCGATCAGTGGCTAAGTCACGGCAGAATTTGTCTGGTAATATGCAGCGCTTCGATAGGTTGAATTAGCATAGCCGATTAACCAAAAATACTTTCGAGGTTCAAAGTCTCCACCTCGTGACGTCTAGGTCAAACTGTGAAAACCCCTTGTCACTCTACCGTATAACACTTATGGAGCAATAAAGCAGTATGTACAACAAATTTGCTCAAGTACTTATACTTCAAGTGTCACTTCGCATATTAACTATCTCCGTTTTTCTCTGTACACGACGTTTTGAATAAAAGCGATCATTGACCACGTTTTGACCTTTCTCCTGTTACAGTCCCACCAGGTCTGAGTTTTTCTTCCCCAGATTGTCAGGTAAAGTGTATTCAGCCTCTGCCCTACAATACCTTTAGGGAACGCATGTCAAAGTAAATATTGCAAGCACCCCTCAAGGTCCGAATGAATGACATTGATTGCCCTATTTTTACTGACAGCTGCCTGAAGATCTTAACTCTGCGATCATCTGTGTAATGTGTTGCACGGCTTCCACGCAGGTGGTGATTAGGATGAACACTACAAAGTAGTGATCTGAACTTCGGTTTAATCCAGTGGTGGAAAGAGTCGGATGAATGCGAATCTATAGGTAATATCTTGGCGGGTTTTCTCAAAGTCAAATACTGTGGCCGGTCAGAGGTTGCGCAATGATCAACCGGCTTTCGTCCGAAACCTCCGCGGGACTGGTTCGACTGCACTGGTGTAGAAACAACGCACCATTGCTACTATTTCTGAAAGGGTGATCTTTGAAACGTTTGCTCAGTTCATTTTCTGTTTGTCAGCTATATTAATTCTTTCCCTCAAGCGCAGCGACTCTGAACTCACTCAACATACTCTTCCTTAGTTTCTCTATTCTGGTCTAAATTCTCTTCAATGTATTGATAATGTCATTAGAAGGATCGTGAACCAAAACCAACTTCATATCTCAATGCATGAGTTAACTAATTCGAGGTTCCTTACTGCCATGCGCTGGATTCACACAACAATGGATACTGGATGCATTGGACACGCGACAGTACGAGTCCAAGACGTTGCCTGCAGTCTAACGTAATCAAATCGGTTCCCGTATTTGTAACGCACGTTGTTGGACCTCATCAATTTAGTTGTTGATTCGAGTGAGCACTGCATTGTGTGAATGATTAATGTCTCCTAGCAGTCTTTATACGCAAGAGCCAGTTCCCGCAACCGTATTCGCCAATCTCTTCTGAGAAACACGAATTTCGTGATGGCCCCAAAGAGGTCTTGTATTGGAATACACTAGCCCAACCGTTGTTTTATCTGAAAATGCAGTTGATTTTTTCACTTTGATAAACAACATGGGCGATCAAATCCGTCTGGTTACCGGTGATGCTAATTGCAGGAATAAGCTGTTAAAACTTTCGACGAAGTACTTGCCATTCGGATGGAGCAAACCCGGTACACGGATGCAATTGATCTCCGAGTATCCTGCGCAGTTCCGTTGAGTGAAGCGATAGCATCGGCAATTCCACTCTCTGAAACGAGGAACATCCTATCAGAAACTTGCGGAAAATTCTTGTGTAGAAAGGCATCTATGGCAAAGATCAACAACGGAGATATGAAACAACTCGGCAATACTACACAGAGCGAAGAAACATGAGAAGACGATCATATACCTTTTCCTAACCCTAGGTTTATGTTGGGATGTGACCACACCCTCTGAACTTCTGTTGTCTGGCGACCAAGAAGTTACGTAGGACTCACCGTGTTCAGAAATCGTTTTCAAAGCCATTTACCGGATGAGGGAAGTGCAGATTGGCAGGAGGTGACGTTGAAGAAGGAGCAGTACTGTTTTGGTGAATTTGACGAGACTTATGGACTATTCATTTTAAACCGGGGGAGGCAACAGCATGTCACTGGACCGCGCGTGCAATTACGGTGCATGGCTAAAAGGAAGTCTAAAAAGAGACCGAATAGTCGAAGACAAAGAAAGAGAAAGAAGAAGAAAATCCAAATACTGCGCAGGAGGATGTTGAAATCAGTACATAAGAATAGCAGTGAAAAATACCGGCGATGGGCAAGACAGCACAATTCCCATCCTGAAGCGGACAGATATGACAATGATGATCATAATGAAAAACTTTCAAAAGAAGAAGGATGTTTTGGAGTGTTGTGATTTCCTTCCCAAAGTGTGATTAGTGGACTAGAGAAAATATATCGAGAGCATTTCCTGAAGAACCGACTTTTGACACCCATGAACGGAGCTTTTGAATTTGAATCGAAGTTAGGTTATCGTATAATCAGTTTTGTTGGTTCTTGTTTGCTTTCTGCCAGCATATTCTACAGTTGATCTGCTGGTGTATTCCATGTTTATTGAAAGTATTGAAGATTAAAGGTTTCGATTTCATTTCCCTATACTGACCGCTCACTTCAGTGTCATCAAAATCATCTGAAGTCGTTTATTTCAATAACAGCTTAGATTTGGGGTCTCATTTACCTTTTGGCTTCTTACCTGTTTCAGGCTTTACCTGCTGTCACCATTTTACTTTGTGAACATTATTTCTCATGACAACTTAAATCTGGCTGATATACTCCATTATTATCCGTTTTTGTCCTGAACGAATCTTATGAAGTTTGCTTTTGATTGCTCATTCCTCACATTCCACTCCATCGGTATACTTTAGCGCAGTGTTGACGTTTGCATCATGTGTCGGAATGCTCATGGATTAAGTGATAGAAGGTTGATGAACTTATATTCATGCCTGGATAAGTTTTTTATTACCGGGATCCGAATTTTCCTGTTTCATGCACAAAGAGGATTGTACTGGCTTATAAATAAGCAGCACACCTTACACTATCATCAACAATGCCCTTCTTCTTGCAGATCTGTAAAAGGTGGAATGTAGGCAGGGGTTAACGATCCGCAATCACTCTTAGGGACTCCATGGTATCTTTTTAATTGACTAATATTAGTTCGAAAATACATCACTAGCTCTGAGACAATGCCATTTATTCAATTGTACTAGGTTTATTCTGATTGTGTTTAGTACTATACTTTCGCTGGTTTTCATTTTTACATCAGCGGGAAAGGTTATTACTGAGATCAAAATATTATCTCCAGTCCATCCTTATGCCCATAATGATGCAAATCAGATGATTACGTCTCGCCCAGTTGTTTGTAGGGTTATTACTAATCGGTTCACTCTTCTTTGTTATTTTTTGCAGTGGCATTCTCCGTTGCCTTTGGAACGCGTGTTTCTTGTCGAACCCGGTTGCAAATCAGAGGAGCGGCAGACGCAAACAGAACGAGAACGTTATGTTCTTCAAGCGATTTACTTTACCCGCGAAAGCATTCCACCTACTCCTGAAGAACCGGATGTTGAAGTTGTGGAACATACAACTCCCGTGGATATTCCCCTTGAGGATGTTAGTGTTTCTTCACTTCTTTGTTCTTCCAGAATATTTGTTTTCTGCCCATTTATTGAACTATTGATGTTTGGTATACATATACAAACTTCTACTCTTATCGCTGTTTGATTTCGGTCCGGGTGAAAGGAACGAGCTCATCAGCGAACGAACTACAACCAACTGCCGTTATAGTTTCAGGTTATCCTTTAAGAAATAGTACGTATTTTTCGACTCTCCAGACTGAGCAATATAAATTTACATACCTAAGCGGGCAGGCAAAACATAAACCAACAGTCTAGATACTGATTATCAAAATCTGGGGAACCGATTTCGAGAAGAGCTACGAACCACGAAAATTGGCGAGATAACTCCATTGCCTTCTGGGGTGCACTAGTATTGCAAGTTTCAGAGATTTAGCATTCAGAACAGCACTAACTGATTAGTGCTGGTATCCTGTGCAGATACCAAACGGTGATCTTAAATACTTTTTGAGAAACAGTAACGGTAAACAGTAAACGGTCACTGCTGCGTTTTGTACAGTTCTGACGGTGAATTTTCTGAATCAAAATGAAGCCTATTGAAGAAAACTTGAAGGAACTGATTTATCGTGCCGTAGGTATGCAAGAAACGTGGATGGCTGTGTGCCACAATTGTCAATTTGAGAGTTCGTAGGGATTCCAATCATTTTGAATAACGAACTGAAGCCCCGTTAGTCCCGCTACAGCTGAGTAGCTAACTAACTAAGAGGTGTGCGAAAGAATGCACCAATTTAGCTCACTCAAGATTCTCAAGCCTATCAATTTCTTGATAGATTTTGTTTAGACAGTCTTATCTACCAAGACAAACGGTCGATGCGATCGAGTAACACTTACCAACTTGTTCTTGTTCAATGTAGCTCACTCTCCTGGAGCCAGTGGTCGAAGGTGCACAGTTCGCGCCCGAAAAATTGCTTGTTGTTCAAGATACCATGGGTAACGCACAGGTGAGAAGTTCTGATAGGTCGATTTCCGATGCCAATGTTTCTGTTCCTCCTGATTTTTCTTCGAGGTTTATGTTCCGTTCTTCGAATCACAACGAATGATCTCGAGTCTCAAGAAATAAGTGGTTAATGTGTGATGCTCAAATTATAGATTTTATTTTCCATCAACCACTCCTTTTCCGCCAAGATCATTTAAATGGAGGGAAGGTGGTACATGTTCGTGATTAACGGTACACCAAGATTTTTTCTACTTCTAATGATTCTATCTTCAACAACCGGGGTTCTTTGATCGCGATAGTCGTCAATAAGTGGATGTTTGACTTACTTGATTCACACCTGCCGCTCACCCTCTGGTTTGCTGAGCACCTGATTGCATAAATCTACGTCATGTGGCATGCACCTCACTGCTGAAGCGCCATTTGTTCACCGGAGAAAGTGGGCATAAATCGTTTCGCACAGCACGGAACGCTGTCACAAGCAGCGTCCCTTGACCCAGTTTTCTTCAATCAGGAAACTGATGTCTCAGTCTATGTATGTGTGGGTGTAGAGAATCATTAGTCGAAACTGCGTCAGACGAACGGTAGTCA